CAGCAGATGCTCTCAAGGTGTTTGTTAATGAGGTTGAAAGACAATTAGATAAAAAGGTGAAAATCATTAGGTCAGATAGAGGTGGTGAATATTATGGAAAATATAATGAGTCGGGACAATGTCCAGGTCCATTCGCAAAGTTCCTCGAGGAACGTGGCATATGTGCACAATATACTATGCCAGGAACACCTCAACAAAATGGTGTTGCAGAAAGGAGCAATCGAACACTTATGGATATGGTTAAGAGCATGATAAATAATTCCTCATTACCCAAATCATTATGGATGTATGCTCTTAAAACCGCTGCATATTTATTAAACAGGGTTCCTAGTAAGGCAGTTCCAAAGACCCCTTTTGAACTGTGGACAGGAAGGAAACCTAGTTTAAGGCACCTGCATGTTTGGGGTTGCCCAGCAGAAGCTCNCAGCGGAAGCTAGAGTTTATAATCCACAAGAAAAGAAATTAGATTCTCGAACAGTAAGTGGTTACTTTATTGGTTACCCAGAGAAATCTAAAGGGTATGTGTTTTACTGTCCAAACCATAGTTCGAGAATTGTTGAAACCGGTAATGCAAGATTCATTGAGAATGGTGAAGTTAGTGGGAGTGTTGAAAAGCAAAGTGTGGAAATTAAAGAGGTAAAGGTCAATATTCTATTACCCAAAAATGTGCCTACTTCCACACAAATACCAAATATTATTCCAGTTGTTGAAGAACACTTTGACAACACCGAGCGACATTGGATGAAATACCTCATGAAGAAACTAACTCACAAATATTTGACACAAATGAACCACAAGAAATGCCATTAAGAAAATCTCAAAGAGTTAGAAAATCAGCTATTTCAGATGATTACGTGGTTTATTTGCAGGAGTCAGATTTTGACATTGGTCTTAATAAGGATCCGGTTTCATTTTCACAAGCCATAGAAAGTAATGAGTCTGAAAAATGGATTGATGCCATGAAGGAAGAGTTAAAATCCATGGAATACAATAAAGTCTGGGATCTTGTTGAATTGCCAGAAAGTTCTAAGAGAATCGGGTGTAGATGGGTCTTAAGACCAAACGCGATTCAAATGGCAATATTGAGAGATACAAAGCCAGACTTGTTGTCAAGGGTTATACTCAGAAAGGAGGCATTGATTATAAAGAGACCTTTTCGCCAGTCTCAAAGAAAGACTCGATAAGAATTATTATGGCTTTGGTGGCTCATTATGATTTAGAGTTACACCAAATGGATGTGAAAAATGTCTTTCTTAATGGAGACCTCGATGAAGAAGTTTATATGGACCAACCAGAGGGTTTCAAAACTAAAGAAAAAGAACAAATGGTGTGTAAACTGAAGAAGTCAATATATGGACTTAAACAAGCCTCACGACAATGGTATATAAAGTTTAATGATACCATAACATCTTTTGGATTTGTGGAAAATACCGTTGATCGGTGTATATACCAAAAGATCAGTGGGAGCAAGTTTATATTTTTAGTCCTATATGTTGATGATATTCTACTTGCTGCTAATGATTTAGGCATATTGCGTGAGACTAAAGATTTTCTCTCTAAGAATTTTGAAATGAAAGATATGGGTGAGGCATCCTATGTGATAGGAATAGAAATATTCCGTGATAGATCACAAGGATTATTGGGATTGTCTCAGAAAGGCTATATCGAAAAAATTCTAGAGAGATTTAACATGAATAATTGTTCAGCAGGAATTGTTCCAATTCAAAAAGGGGACAAATTTAGTCTCATGCAATGCCCTAAGAATGATGTAGAACGAAAGGAAATGGAATCAATTCCTTACTCTTCAATTGTTGGTAGTCTGATGTATGCTCAGACTTGCACAAGACCGGATATTAGTTTTGCGGTCGGAATGCTAGGAAGATATCAGAGTAACCCAGGAATTGATCATTGGAAAGCTGCAAAGAAAGTTTTGAGGTACCTGAAAGGAACGAAGGATTACATGCTCATGTATAGGAGATCCAAGCATTTGGAAGTTGTTGGATACTCGGATTCAGATTTCGCTGGATGTATTGACACTAGAAAATCCACGTTTGGTTATTTGTTCCAATTAGCTGAAGGAGCAATATCGTGGAAGAGTGTCAAACAGTCTGTCATTGCTACATCCACGATGAAAACAGAATTTGTGGCATGTTTTGAGGCCACAATTCATGCATTATGGCTGCGAAACTTTATTTCAGGACTTGGGGTTGTCGACACCATTACCAAGCCGCTGAAAATTTACTGTGATAATTCTGCAGCAGTATTCTTCTCCAAGAACGATAAGTACTCCAAAGGTGCCAAACATATGGAATTAAAGTACTTTACCGTCAAGGAGGAAGTTCAGAAACAAAGAGTGTCACTTGAGCATATTAGAACTGATCTCATGATTGCAGATCCATTAACGAAAGGTTTACAGCCAAAGATATTTAAAGAACATGTACATAGAATGGGTCTTGGCTGTATTTATGACTGATGTATTTATGATGTTTTGACACTCTGAGCTCATTTATATGTTTCTGATATACATTAATGATTTCCTGTTTCTCATAATGGTGTACACATTATTGTTTTGAGATATTACAGGATAAGTCTCAATGAGACATTATTGTGGACCATAATATTTTATAGCTTATGGACCTGATACGATGAGTTGCTAATGTTGTAGTATATGGAAGGGAGTATGTAGATAAATTATATATAACCTCCATAACTCACATTTAGTAGTTTATCGTATTATGGTATTTATGATGGACATTATAGAAGAGATTTGTTTATGCGCAACTAATGTTCCTATATTAAATATTAATATTATGTGATTATTGGGCCAAGTGGGAGAATGTAAATTATTTTTCTATGTATGTGTGGCCCAATAGGTCTAAGGGCCATAATTAATATTTAATTAATTATCAAATTTCATCCGTCCGATTGGTTACTTGATGGACGTACCAGATTAAGTGAGAACCTCTATAAATTGGTCCTCTCCTCACCCATTAGGGTTACCGTATTTTTATTCGCTCCTCCATCTCTAAAGGCGGCGGTAACATAAAGTTAGGGCAAGGGGCGAGAAACCAGTTTTGAATTAACGCTTCCGCTTCAACATCATGGATTCCGCTTCAGGTATGTTTTCTATGACGATTACATGTAAGGTTATCATGTTCAAGATCCTGGTGCAATTAAAGTTTATCCTTACATCAATTTCTAATCTGTTGTATAAAGAGGACACTATCATAATACAATTTGAACTACTTTCATTCATTCAACTCTGACTTTGTCAGAAGTAAGGTGAAGAGCACTCAATTAGTTATTTGTGTATAGAACTTGGGGTTTTGGCAATGTCGCAGAGGATATGAGTAATTGTAGTGAGTTCTGTTGCTAGAGAGGCTAACGACAGGTGCTCTATTCTTGCATTGGACTTGGCAACAATGTTTTATTTCATTTGAAGATGAGACAACTTGAGCCGAGAAAGATGTGTAAACTTGAAGTAGAAGGATGAATAGGGGTAACCAACCCAATCGGCGTCTGACAAACCAACTAGATCTAAGGAAGCGTTGGTTGTAATGTGAAAAACCAATTGGAATGGACAACAAATATATCACAAAAATCATTTTTCCTCCGGCATAAAAAATATGATGGACTGCATTTTGGCACTGCATGAACTACAAATGAGGTTTAAAATTTCAAAATTACTTAAGTTTTTCCTTCCTTGTTTTAGCAATAATGCATAAACATTCTTTTAAAGATAATATGTAAAGAGTTAATCAATTGTATAGTTCACTTGTTGGGGTTTTTTTGTGCCTTTCCCTTTCTACGTAGATTAAAAAGCGTCTTTTAGAGACATATAAATATGACCTATTTTAGGTTTAAAATAGAATAAGAGAGAAAGCACAAGCGTGCAGCCGTTTTTGAAGCCTTGTGAGTGAGAAAAGTGTGTCCGTTTGCTCCAGAAAATTTCTGCTCAGGCAGTCCGCTTCAAATAGCATTTTCTGACCCGTAATTCTCGGATTGTGCTTCAATTTGAACTGGGAGTTTTTAACATCTGGTTCTTGAATTTCAACGATGGATATTGGATTTGGAGGCCTATGGCTTCAATTTTGGAGGCGTGAATAGTAGCTCGTGTTTGGAGTGATATCTCTTCTATCTTCAATTGTTTTGATGCAATCTTGTTTCTATTATTGCTCTGAGTTTGGCACTTGCTGAAAGTACAAGGAGGGGGGGTGTGAATTGTAACTCTTTTAAAAATAATTGCTTATTAGTTGACTTATTACTTGAGTAGTCGACTAGATATGATAAATTGACAGATATAATAACAGGAAGTAAACTGCAGGAATTAAAGACACCAGAATTTTTATACTGGTCGGATTCAATGTGAATCCTAGTCCAGTACCCTTGGGTTGCAAGGGAGTTCTCTTTAGTAAATGAGTTTCTTCCGAGTACAGTTGTAGTGAATTTCACTCAGTTTCTCTAGCACTCGTTTTTTATACAATGCCTCACCAGTGTTATGCTCTTTTTTTTTCCCTGACTTGTTAAACAGCAGATCCTAGTGAACTACAATGCTTGTTTGCAGTAGAATAAAGAGAGTGATTTTGGTTTGATCAAAGTATAAACACTAGGGTTTACAACGAGGTATAAATACTTTGATGGATGGTAGAGGCTTGACAACCCAAGAGATTTGATCCCTGGAAAGAATTGATTCTTTCCAAGAATAAGGAATGAGCCGTTGCTTCTCTTGATTGCTTTCCTTCGGCAGAGATACGAATGAAGATTGCTCCTTGGTTGTTGGTTCTTCCAAATGCGGTCGCGTAACAAATCTCCTCGTATCCTTCAATCTTCCGTGATTCTGCCATTGATTTGTGCCATTACTCAAGGCTTATTTGATTCTTTCCAACTCAGCTAATCGTTGTTATTGCTGATTGATTTGTTGATTAGATTCCGCCCAGATTTGCGAGACCTTTCCAAATTTTCCGATTGTATGCTAATTGATTTCTTTCCTTATACATCATGAACCACTCCAGCAGTCTTCTTTACTTCTTATAATTGATTTCCTGCACATGTATATTATTTGCATCATTAAAACAAGATCTAACAATCTCCCCCTTCTTGATGATGGCAAAATAATATAATAATGTAAAGAAGTAAACATCAGTCGACCTCCTTGTGTTTTACTAGTCAACTTGACTTGTCCATGATACTCCCCCTCAATGTATGCAGTCGACTTGTTCCATGATACTCCCTCTCAATGTATGTAGTCTAATTGTACCTGTACAATAGACCAATATATGCTACCTATACACATAGATTTTCTCCCCCTTTTTGTCATCAGCAAAGAGGAAATAAGAGAATAGATAGCAGTAAAGCAGAAGAGGTAAAGAGATTATCCAGCGGCTGGTAAAATAGCCCACGGTAGCAGCAAAAACATAATTATCCAGGGGCTTAAACCACAACCCATAAACCACCAAAACAAATTGTCAAAAAAAAAACATAGTCTTAAAAACATCCACACTAGCGGCGCAGGAAATAGGTAAGGGTGTTGCAGATAGCCTCCTTTAACTGTTCGAAGCTTGTATTTGCAGAGACGCTCATACCATCCAGCCTGTCGTGAACCTCCTTGAAAGCTTTGACAACATTCTCCCTCACTCTGAGAACAACAACTCTGATTTTTGACACGTCAGACCCTGTTTCCTTGGAAATAGCATGAGTAGACTGAGTGGCGGAAAGAAGGTTCTTGATGTCAGAGAGTTGGGAGTTAATAGTGCAAAGCTTCTCACTAAGCTCAGAACTGACAAGAGTAGGAGGAGGAACAACGGGTGAAGGCTTGGATTCTATAGGGGCCTGCTTTGCTTCACTCTCACTTTTCTTAACCCAGGAGCTCTTGATACTCACATAGCCCATACTAGCAAAAGCTCTAGAATTATAGGACTTGGAGACAGTGATGAATGGATAGTTGGACAGAGAAATTTGATGGGCTTCCAGAATATGAGTGATTGTCATGCCATAGGGTAAACTAGTGGGATCTTCAGCACTTTCTATCATGAAATTGATAACCCAGGAGGAAAGCTTGATTTTGAGTTTGGTGATAAGGCAGTAGACAAACAATGTATCTCTTTGAGAGAAGGTTGAAAAGGAACCAGTGCGGGGAAGCAGGGTGGTTGCCACAATATGGGCCAAAACCCGAGTTTCAAAACTGACATCACTGGGGCCCAATTGGTTTGGAAGGATTTCAGAGGGACACTCAACAATGCACTATTTGTCTTGGTCAAAAGAGATTTCAAAGTCATTAGGACACATGTTTTTAAACAGAGTAGAGAAACCAGAGCAACGACATTGAAAAAGTGAGTCAAACAAGGCATAATCAAGAACAATGCGCTTACCTAGCACTAGAGATTCCAACCTATCCGGTTTACTAGAGCGAAGATTTGCATAAACATTTTGACCAGGGGTTCATACACCTTAGGCGGAGGAATAGAGAGGAATTTTTCCCACCCTTGATAAACAAAAAGTTCTTTAACCTTACAGTTAAGGGCTTCCATATCATCAAGATCCACGACCCTTCCATGGGCGATGGGCTTGTCTTTAAGAGTAATGAAAAGATCCCTATTTAGGGTATCCCAGAAATTTAGGTCAGACTCGAGTGAGGTAGAGAAATCAACCTTTGATTTCTTTGGGGTGGATGAAATGGGGGGATCTTCCATGGGTCGCTTGCCTAAAGATTTTTCTCCTAGAAGTTGGGAGTGTTCAGAGAAATCTCCCTGAGATGAGGCGAAGCCTTCAAAGTGATCAGACCCTAGGTCTACTTGCTCAGGAGGCGCAGAAGAGGGTTTTGCTTTGGAGCGAGTACTCTTTCTGGTAGAGGCAGAGGGATTTTTTGAGTGTTTCGCCATTGTAGAGAAGGGGCTTTGCTAGAGGTATTGGAGAGGAGATGGACATGAGATGAGAAGACGTGATGATTGGCTTTCCATCTTCGAACTGCAACTGATGTGAAAGAAGCGAAAAGAGAGGGAAAAATCGGAGGCGTAATTAAGGCATGGGAAAAGGACAATTATAGCACTTTAAAAGTAATTGAGCACATAGGTCCTAAGAGTTATTAGAAATGCAAATAATACCAAGTAATTTTCTCAAAGTACAAAATCTTTCTTCTAACAAAGGCTTAGTAAAAATATCAGCTAATTGAGCAGAAGTTCCAACAAAGGATATTTCTATGTCTCCCTTAAGAACATTATCTCTAATAAAATGATGCTTAATATCTATATGCTTTGCTCTAGAATGATGCACATGATTTTTTGAAAGACAAATAGCACTAGAATTATCACAAAAGATTTGTATAGGTTTAAACGAAAGCTCATAGTCACCCAATTGATGAGACTTCCCCAGTAGTTGTGCACAACATTGTCCAATAGCAATGTATTCAGCTTTAGTAGTGGACAAAGCGATTGATTCTTGCTTTTTACTGTTCCGGGATATTAAAGCCTTTCTTAGTAATTGACATGTGTCGCTTGTGCTTTTTCTATCTTCTTTATCACCTACAAGATCAGCATCTGAAAAACCTTCAGGTTTAAAAGAGTTAGAGCGAGGATACCACAATCCATAAGATACAGTTCCAATGAGATACGAATGATTCTCTTTACAGCAGTCAAATGTGACTCCTTGGGAGCTGACTGAAACCTGGCACATTTACATACGCTGAACATAATATATGGACGACTTGCTGTCAAATATAGCAGTGATCCAATCATTCCCCTATCTTTGGTTTCGCTAACAGGGATGCCCTGTTCATCTTTGTCTAGATTTGTAGCGGGGCTCATTAGAGTGCCAATTGATTTTGCATTGTTCATACCAAAATTTTGAATCAGCTCTTTTGTATATTTGGTCTGACATATAAAAGTTCCTTCTTCGGATTGTTGAATTTGTAGCACAAGGAAGAATGTGAGCTCACCCATCATGCTCATTTCAAATTCGCTTTGCATAAGATTTGAAAATTCCTTGCAGATAAGAGGGTTAGCACTACCAAATATAATATCATCAACATAAATTTGAATAATGAGGTTACCCTCTGATGATCGTTTAATAAATAAAGTAGTGTCTATTTTACCTCTTGTAAAGCCATGATCAATAAGAAAGGTACTCAGCCTATCATACCAGGCACGTGGAGCTTGTTTCAACCCATACAGTGCTTTAGTAAGCTTGTATACATGGTATGGAAATTTTGAGTCCTCAAAGCCTGGAGGTTGTTTCACAAAAACTTCTTCCTCGATAAATCCATTTAAAAAGGCGCTTAACATCCATTTGAAACAGCCTGAATCTTTAAAGGATGCATATGCCAGAAGAATTCGTATGGACTCCAAACGAGCTACTGGGGTGAAAGTCTCATTATAGTTAACTCCTTCTTACTGTGAATAGCCCTGAGCAACTAGTCTAGCTTTATTTCTTATGACCTTTCCATCCTCGTTCAATTTGTTTCTAAATACCCACTTTGTTCCGATTACAGACACATTATCAGGTTTGGGTATTAGTTTCCACACTTGATTCTTGCTGAACTGATCTAATTCCTCTTGCATGGCTTGCACCTAGCTTGAATCTTTCAGTGCTTCCTCTATCTTTTTTGGATCAATTTGAGAAATCAATGCAATGTTTGCTTTCTTCTTGAGAGCAGCCCTGGTTTTCATTCCTTCGTTTGGATCCCCTATAATAAATTTCTGAGGATATTCGGGTTCGCTTCTCCATTCATTTGGTCGAATTGCATTTGTAGTCGACTCGATTTGTGGATCTGGAATATTGCTGCTATTTTCACCAGTTGACTCGATCACCCCAGATGTATTAGTCGACTCTTGTGATTTTCCTTTATCCTGAGCTTCTTGAGTTTGATCTTCAACACCTGCAGTAGTTCCTTTCTCGACCAAGGGATTATTTTCATCGAATATAACATGTACAGATTCTTCTACACATAAAGTACGTTTATTATAGACTCTAAAAGATCTGCTATTCAATTAATAACCAAGAAAAATACCTTCGTCACTTCTTGGATCAAACTTTCCAAGATTATCCTTACCGTTATTATGAATGAAACATTTGCTTCCAAAGGGATGGAAGTAATTGATATTAGGACGTTTACCTTTCTAGAGTTCATATGGGGTCTTCTTCAGAATTGGCCTTATGAGGCAACGGTTGAGGATGTGACAAGCAGTACTTACACCTTCTGCCCAAAAGTGGTTTGTCAATGAATGTTCTAGTAGCATGGTTCTTGCCATATCTTGGAGAGTTCTGTTCTTTCTTTCCACAACCCCATTTTGTTGTGGTGAGCATGGTGCAGAGAAATTATGAGTGTATCCTTGATCGTTACAGAAGTCTTCAAAAGTTCTGCTTTCAAATCCTCCTCCATGGTCACTCTGAATTTTTGAGATCAGATGTCCCCTTTCTCTTTCAACCCTTTTGCAGAAAACTTCAAAATTTCTTAAAGCTTCATCCTTATGAGACAAGAAGATTACCCAAGTGAAACGTGAAAAATCATCAACAATAACAAATGCATACCTCTTTCCTCCTATGCTAGCAGTTCTAGTAGGCTCAAATAAGTCCATATGAAGTAATTGCAAAGGTTTTGGAGTAGATACTATATCTTTATTTTTGAAAGAATTTCTGGTCTGTTTACCCATTTGACATGCATCACAAATATGAATTCTAGAAAAATTCAATTTAGGCAAACCAACAACTAAATCATGTTTGGACAGTTTTTCAATCAAATGCGTGCTAGCATGACCTAGTCTCCTATGCCATAACCATGGATCATCAGACATAGAAGATAAGCAAATATGGCCATCTATCTTTTCAAAACCATCAAGTATATAAACATTTTCATACCTTTTTCCAGGAAGAATTATCTTACCTGATTCGTCTTCAATAGCACAACCTGTTTTCTTAAACTTTACCTCATATCCAGAGTCGCAGAGTTGACTTATGCTCAAGAGATTGTAGTTTAGTCCATCGACGAGATAAACTTCAGTAATGTCACAATTGTTATTGAAGGGAATTGTTCCAGTACCAACTATTTTGCCCCTTGAATCGTCTCCAAGTTTAACACTTCCTCCATCGATTTTTGTAACTTCTTTAAACAGGTTTTTGTCTCCTGTCATATGACTGGAACACGCACTATCTAGATACCATTTTCCTTTGCGGCTTACTCTGTGGTGTTCCTGCAAGACAAGATGATTACTTTCTTTTAGGTACCCAAGCTTGCATGGGTCCTGTAGGGTTAGTAGTAGTAGGTTCAGAATTTTTTAGTTTCCAAACCCATCCTGAGACATTTGATTTACAAAAATAACAAAAGGAATATTTATGCCCACTTTTATTACAGTAATGACATGTAGCTTTAGACCTGCTTATAGGTCTTTCATAAGTGTTTGAACTAGCTGACTTAGTTCTAGCTGGTTCTTTCCCAGTTGACTTGTAAGTCACTTGGTCTGACCGAGTGGTTTGACTAGGTTCTGGTTGGTTCCTTTCCAATCGACTTGTAAGTCGTCTGGTTTGACCTAACAGAACTATGACTGGTGGATTTGCACAAGTTGTTGAGCTGCATTTGCAAACCCTCAAACTCTTCCTGAAGTACTTCCTTTTCAATTTCACATACTTCATGTTTGAGTTTCCAGTCTTTAACCTCCCTAGTGAGTCTCTTAAGCTCATTCATCATTTTTGAGACTCTTTCAAGGTTGAATCAAGAATATCCTGCAATCCATTACATCTTTCACAGTCATAAGATCTTACCTCACTAGTTTTACCTCGTGCCATGAAACAGTTCTCATTCTCGTCATCTGAATCGTCTTCATCTGTCCAGCATCCTGAAGTTTTGTTTATTTCATTTTCCAGAATTGTCATGAAGCAAAGATTTGCTATTTCTTCATGGTCAGAGTCATCTTCATCGCTCCATCTTCCGAAGGATTTGTTCTTGTTGAAGCCTCTAGAGATCTTCCTTTTCAGTTCTGGGCATTCAGCTTGAATATGCCCAAATTTTCCACATTTGTAGCATTTTCCATCATTCTTGTCCTGTTCGTTGTATTGTCTGGATCGTCTTGGTGGGTATCTTCCTTTCTTTGTGTTTTTGTATCTTATCATCAATCCATCCATACTTCGAGACATCATAGCAATCTCTTCTTGTAGAGCTTCAGGATCATCAATTTCATTTTCAGCCATTTCAGTAGAGGTTTTGAACGCAACTATTTTCTTTTTCTCTTCTTGATTTGTCTTTTTCAGATGCATTCTTTCAAAAGCAATGAGTTCTCCTCGTAGTTCATCATAGGATAATTTGTTTAGGTCTTGAGATTCCAGTGTGACTACTTTGGTCTGCCAAGTGGTTGGCAGACTTCTGAGAATTTTTCTTACTTGATTACCACTGGTGTAGGGTTTGCCAAATGCCTTTAAGTCGCTAATTAATTTGATGAACCTGGCAAACATCTCTTCAATGGATTCTCCTTCTTTCATTGAGAAGAGTTCATAATCATGAACTAGCATGTTGATGTGTGTTTCCTTTACTTTGCTGGTTCCCTCATAGGTTCCCTCAAGTTTGTCCCACATCTCTTTGGTTGTGTCACAACTCAATATTTTCTCGTATTTTTCATCACTTATAGCATTATGAAGCAGGTTTCTTGCCTTGTTATTCACTTGTACTTCTTCCAGTTGCTCTTTTGAGTATGAATCTATATCATCAGGACCAGCAAGTGGTGGAGTGATAGCCGGTAGGGGATAGTTTCCCTTTTTGATGACTCTCCAGACTTTGACATCGTAAGCTTTAGTAAAGATTTCCATTCGTACTTTCTAGTGAGAGAAATGTTGTCCATTGAAGTATGGTGGTCTAACTTGTGAAGTTCCTTCTTGAAAAAGAGCTCCTATGATAACCTGATTTGCCATGATCTTTTCTCACAAGCTGTTAAGCAAAAATAAAATGTGAGCCAGACTCTAATACCAATTGACGCATGAAATTCGGGAAAGGGATTCGATCAATTCTATTGTTGTTCAGCGGTATGTTGCTCATGCATTTTTTAGCCCGAAGGGCATTACGTTATAGCAATATGTACCATACTTTGTNAATTGTAACTCTTTTAAAAGTAATTGCTTATTAGTTGACTTATTACTTGAGTAGTCGACTAGATATGATAAATTGACAGATATAATAACAGGAAGTAAATTGCAGGAATTAAAGACACCAGAATTTTTATACTGGTCGGATTCAATGTGAATCCTAGTCCAGTCCCCTTGGGTTACAAGGGAGTTCTCTTTAGTAAATGAGTTTCTTCCGAGTACAGTTGTAGTGAATTTCACTCAGTTTCTCTAGCACTCGTTTTTGATACAATGTCTCACCACCAGTGTTATGCTCTCTTTTTTTCCCTGACTTGTTAAACAGCAGATCCTAGTGAACTACAATGCTTGTTTGCAGTAGAATAAAGAGAGTGATTTTGGTTTGATCAAAGTATAAACACTAGGGTTTACAACGAGGTATAAATACTTTGATGGATGGTAGAGGCTTGACAACCCAAGAGATTTGATCCCTGGAAAGAATTGATTCTTTCCAAGAATAAGGAATGAGCCGTTGCTTCTCTTGATTGCTTTCCTTCGGCAGAGATACGAATGAAGATTGCTCCTTGGTTGTTGGTTCTTCCAAATGCGGTCGCGTACCAAATCTCCTCGTATCCTTCAATCTTCCGTGATTCTGCCCTTGATTTGTGCCTTTACTCAAGGCTTATTTGATTCTTTCCAACTCAGCTAATCGTTGTTATTGCTGATTGATTTGTTGATTAGATTCCGCCCAGATTTGCGAGACCTTTCCAGATTTGCCGATTGTATGCTAATTGATTTCTTTCCTTATACATAATGAACCACTCCAGTAGTCTTCTTTACTTTTTGTAATTGATTTCCTGCACATGTATATTTTTTGCATCATTAAAACAAGATCTAACACTTACTTAGTGGCCAATTTAGAGAATTTTTATAACTCTTATTGATGGATTTAGTGGAGCTTTGAGGGCCTTTGGTCCCGTAGTTTTTATTCTTCTCATTGAAGAGGGTTTTCACGTAAATCTTGGTGTCACGTGTATTTGATTATTTTACCTTGCCATATTCATAATGGTTTATACACTTATTGCCCGTATATGTTTGTACTTGAATTTGTTTGTCTTCTCTTGGTTCAAATAGATTGGAAATGTTAGACTCGAGTATTATTCCGCTGCTACCTTGTCATGAAAATTGTTTGTGCCTTGCTTTCCCAGCATCACTAACCATGATTACCACATAGGTTAGAAGTCTGTTAGTTTACTTAATTATACAGCTGTCAGGTAGAGTTAGTTTAATTGCAGCTGGCAGTGTAGTTAGTCAAGTTAGTTACATTTAGTCCTTGTATCTTGTTCATTTGAGCTAAGAGCTCATTTCATTCAATACAGATTTAGCTTCTCTCTCACACTCATCTCTTTTCCCTCTTCTCTGCTTACATTCAAATTGCTCAGGTCACTGAATTGATGAAAGTTTACATAATAGGATTTGCTTTAATGTCCTAAACGATAACACAAATCCATCTAATACAAATTCCCAAATGTTTGGACGATTTACACAAGAGTATAACTATAAACGACCACAAAGATCCCAACTTATTTCTTGCATAAATAACTAAGACTACCTTTCAACTATTTGTAGAGCTATATAGATAGTAAGTAATGACAGAAATCACAGCCACCATAGCTGCAACGCTCGTAGCTGCATTCTTGATCTTCTTCAATCTTGAGTTGTTTGTTGTTTCGTCCTTTACTTTCGTGGATGTAGTCGAGTTATTTTCTTTTAGAGTTGGTGTTGTTTCTTCATCTGCTTTAGGATTAACAGCTAATGGAGGAGGGGCTGTAAATTTCTTTGGAAATGAAATTTTGAGAGAACCTTTTGCTAATTTTGCTTGGATTTCATCTGTATTACAGTCTTTTGGTATTGGGAATTCCTTATAAAATCTAATTCTTGAATTACCGACTTGACGATCTCCAGAAATCTTGACCACTCCCAAATTGCTAATTTGCACCTTCAATCCTTGTTTATTGGTGAATTCTTGGAACCACAAAATAGAAAAAGAACATTAGGAATTTTGCATTGTTAATCTACTTGTTCAGTAGATTTTGGTATGCATTTGCGGTAAAAGAAAAAAAGAAGAAGATGGAGGGATTCGTCAGGAGCCTAAATTAATAACCTATTAGATAAAGCAAAAATAAATAAATAAATAAAAAGAGTTTGTTCTAGTTTATGTAGGTTGCATAGGCGGATTTAGTCTTGCGGTACTGGATTCATATATACTCAATACGTTTAGAGAGCATAAATTTATGTAAAATCTATTAAAATGGCGGCAACTATTAGGTACGAACCCATACACTTAAAAAAAATGAAGTGTTCAATGTTAAAAAACTTAAAGGTTGAACTTATATGTTTAAATTCTGAATCGGCCTTTGATAAGTTGTATCTTCAAATAAAAAGTTAGAGATAATTTTATTTTTCGTTTAAATAGCGTAAGACCTGTAACCGAAGCAATATACTATATATATAATTACTTTGATAGTTTTTATTATGTGATATATGCTAATCAATTAGCTCTAGTGCAAGAAGTGTATTCGACTTTGAAAGTAAAAAGGCCGAATAATTTGACACAATAGTTGGTTACACACACTATTTGGCGCAAATGTTGTAGTTTAGTGATATTCGACTAAAAATGCATATATTTACACATTATTGTTGCCTCACATTGGAGTACTTTTAATCGTTTTTTGAGTATTAAGTAAATTACTTTACACTTAATATTATATTTTAACTGAGTAAATAAAGCGATGTGAAGTGAAGAAATTTGGAGCAAAATTGAATAAAACGCGATAAAAAATTAAAAGAATAAAAAATAAGGAGACAAATGCGGGATACCCTTTGGTGTTTGTCCTCCCCAAGTAGAAGACAAAACAAAGAAGAGATACATTGAAAGAGGAGGCGTGAACATTACTGGATTCGGCGCCACGGCCAGCACGCGCTGGCCTGGACGCCGGGTGACGGGATTTTTTTCTATTTCGCTGGGACAAAGTTATTTCGGCCCTACACAGTTCTACCTCGTATAAAAGGGGTTCTAAACCTAAATTGGAGGTGATCTAATATATTTTTGAGAGGAGAGCATGCCACTTTGGAGGGAAGAACATAAACCACGTTTGGAGGAGGTTTTCAACTAATTTTTCTTCTCTCTTCTCTTCCTTTAATGTCATAGTTCATTAATTCTAGAGTTGTGGGTGCTACATGAACGATGTGGTTTGAAGCTTGAATTGTTCTTATTATTTTATCATATTGGTTTATTTATTCAATTTGCGCTTAATTATTTGATTGTTTGATCACCAACTAAATACCATCTACGAATATAGGATTGAACTCGGAAGAAGGAATTTTAGATTGCATATAAGATTGAGTAGAGCAATTAGATTTTGAACCTGAGTATTGGGAGCGGATTTGCAATTAGGATAGAGATATACCTAATCGCCTTGCTTGGTTATTATATGAGAATTATTAATGCGTTCTTGTTAATCTTAATTCCATAGGGGTATAGGCGTTAGGTTAGCTTGAATAATCGAGTATTACTTCGGGAAAATACTACGAGTAATATTAACCCTGTCAATCAATAAACCAGAAAAATTAATTAGACAATTTAAGTGAAAGACTCAACATGATTGTTAGCTAACCCATAGCTCTGGAATATTGTCTCTCATCTAAGCTTGCCGACGTATTTTCTTTAATTTCTTAGTTTTTGACCCAGATTAATTGTAGTTAATAATCTTTAGAAAATCATTTTAATAGATTAATTGTCTTAGTTTAATTTAGTAAATAGTTAACCACAAGTTCTGTGCGAACGATATCTGGACTTACAATCTTATATTACTTATATGACCACGTATACGTGCGTGTGCATTTAGTGTTTTCAATCAAGTGGTCGAGATAAAAGAAAAAGAAGAATAAACATTAGCTAACTTCAAGATGTTACGTAGAAACTTATCAGAAAAGATTTAGCACCTTAAAACAATTCCTATTCCGATGATTTTGCGGGGGGAAATGTACATGAATATGGAACCATATTATTCATACCTGGGATACGGACTATAAGAACATCAAATTCCTCCTTTTGCCACTCGCTATATGGATCAAATTCAGAATAGGCTTGCTTTCCAATTAATCCAACATTGGCTTCCATTCGAGTTTTAGTTCATGGACTTCCAACTGATTCCTCTCTCCAATTCATTTATAAAGGCATCAATTATCAAACGCGCCAACCAGGTTGCTTTGATTTCAATCACGGGAATCGGGAACAGAATGATTCCTTCTTTGTTTAGAAGATCTTTCTTCTGAATTGCTTTGTGGTTTTTCTTCTCAGTCTTCGCGGTTTTCAGAAAATTCCTTCTTTGGGCAATTGAAAAATTCCATGTGTGCTTTATAAGCCTCCCTCGAGACGTTAGAGCCCACACAAAGCCGATCATAACACATAGGATATCACATTGTCTTAACCTCATATGCGAACAGTGGCGGATTTAAGATTTAAAGTTTATTGATATAACTTTAATAGTTTTTAGCATTGAATCCGTTATATTTTTAAAATTATAAATTCATATTTACTATGTTTTTCAATTTTGGTGAATTTTTATGCATGAATTTATACTCTACATCGAAAGTTATGGATTTATTTAAACTCGCCATTAAAATACAATATCCGCCTTTGTGTCCGGGGATTTCATGTAAAAGTTAGTTTAGAAAATTTAGGGGTTTTCTCGTAGACTTGAATGTCTTGAAAAAGCCCTCTTTTCCCTGAAATGAAAGTGTATTTATAGATAATTAATTAACATTTAAAGAGCTGGATCATAAACATAAGTAGAATATTAAAAAAATTAATGCTACCGAGAGGGGCATTTTGGAATATCACGTATAACTTTTACTATTTAAAATTCTTACTGAAAAGTCAAAATAAGAGAACTACCATAAAATATTTCAAACCTCAAGAAAGGTTTTTCCATTACAAAGGTAAAACCTGGATCTTAGACGTAAGAATTAAAGACACAATACAAATCACATTAAACAAGGGGCAGAATAGCCTAGGAGACACATGTACATCCTGACCTCTCCACTCCACAGGTTATAAGGTGGACACTTGTACTTGTGCGTACTCTATATTTTAAATGCTTATGACAGTTACTGAGACTATGTGTCATTTTTAAGACTGAGTAGGCACTAGTGCATAATTCACATACCCTTAAGGGGATGAGGCCGAGGAAAGAGGCCCTAACAGTAATTTTACCCTATTTAAAAGCTTCCTTCTTCATTCTCCATTGTTGAACAATGGAATCATCTTTTAGATATTATCAAAATCTTGCTTCTTTTTTTCTTTATTTTTCCTGAGTCTATAGTTCGTTGGGTATCTCCATTGCAGCTCCATTGTTTTCGAAGGGTTGTATAATATTCTTCTCTATCATATAAAATACCATTGTTGCCTTTCTTGTTGCATGCGCCCGTAATGGAGGAGTTACCTTTATGCTATTGTGGAGTTGTTGTTGAACTAAAAATTATATGGATACCAACCAAACACGGAAGAAGGTTTCTAGGCTGTCAAAGTTACACAAGTGGTAAAGGCTGTGACTATTTCATGGTTTGATCCAGCTATTGATGAACTAAATAATTCTGTTAATGTGGAACTTCTTAAGAAGATTGATGGATTTTATTTTCGGGGAAGGGTGGGAAGGTTGAAATTCTGGGTTGCTGCTATTTTTGTAGTGGTTAGTGTGATGTTAACACTTATCTTCTGTGTTTAGCACTGGTAGGTTGTGTTTTGGGTCTGTATTTTATATGTTTAAGATTGTTAGTTTCTAGGTTTAAGCTTGAACACTTTGTGTTATAATATGATGATCAATATAATAAAAAACTTTCAGGGGATGTTGCAGATCGAGCACAGGAACCTGAACCCCCGGAAGCTGAGCATGATGTGCAACAATAAGCAGGGGGAATAGATCTGGAAATCAATGCAGAAGTGACTGAACTTCTTCATAATGCAGAACAGGAAGAAGACAAGACAATCATTAGAACAAGGTGGATATTCAGGAATAATCCAGATGATAAAGGAAATATTACCAGAAATAAGGCAAGGTTGGTTGTACAAGGTTACGATCAATAAGAAGGTATCGATTATGATTTAGACATTTAACATAGCCGTACGAATGGGGCAATTTAAATGCTTATTGCTTTTGTATCCTGCGGGGGTTTCAAGCTATATCAAATGGATATAAAAAGTGCAATTTGAATGGGTATTTGAAGGAAGAAGTGTTTGTGTGTCAACCTTCAGGATTTAAGACAACAAATTCCCCGATCACGTGTATAAATTGGACAAGGCATTGTATGGTTTTAAGCAAGTGCAAGACCATATTATGAAAGATTGTCAACATTTCTCCTGGAGAACATGTTCTCGTGAGGAAAAATTGATAACACTCTATTTTTATTGAAGAGTAGAAAGAACCTACTGATTTTTCAAATATATGTTGATAATATTATCTTTAGAGCGACAAATGAATCTTTATGCAGTGACTTTGCAAAATTAATGAGAAGTGTGAAATAAGTATGATGGGAGAATTAAATTTCTTCTTAGAACTTCAAGCTAAGCCAATGGCAAAAGGCACAATGATACATCAATATAAGTTTATCAAGGAGTTTCTCGTGAGGTTTGAAATGGGCAATGCAAACACAATCTATACTCCCATAGCAACTACAACCTGGTTCGTATGGATGAACCTGGTCTTCCTGTCAAGAAGAAAAAAATATAGGGGTATGATTGGATCTTTGCTCTACCAAACGGCAAGTAGACAAGATATTATGTATAGTGTGGGGTTATTTGTTAGATTTCAGTCCAATCCCAAGGAGTCACACTTGAAGGTTGTTTAAAGGATCTTGAGATATCTCAAAGGTACTCAAGACCTGGTTCTTTGGTACCCATCTTGATATTCATTTGATCTAATTGGGTATGCAGGTGTTGATTATGCTGGGTATTTGGTAAACAAGAAGAGCACATTATGGATGGCTCACTTCCTTAGCTCATGTTTGATCTCATGGGCTTCATAGAAACAAAACTCTGTAGCTTTATCCACTGCAGAAATTGCCTCGTGTTGTGCTCAGTTATTCTGGATCAAACAATAACTAGAAGATTATGCAGTAATTATAGAAAGGGTTCCCATATTATGTGATAATACAAGCACAATGAATATGGCAAAGAACCCGGTTCATCACAAGATAACCAAATATATTGATGTGAGACATCACTTTTTGAGAGACAATGTTGAAAAAGATCACATCTCTATGAAATTTTGCAAGATAGAGGAGTAGATATATATATATATATATTAACTAAGGCTTTGAGCAAGGATTACTTTGAAAGAAACTGATTGGATCTTGGTTTAATCAAAATGAACTAGGATATTCTTGATTTTCCTCGATGATTGGCTATATTTTAGTAAAGTAATTAATGAGTCTAAGTGTGATAGATGTCTAACTCAGTCTTATACTGCAACAGGTATGCACGCATGGAACTGTCTCAATGGCTTAAGCGTTTAATCTGATGATGAAATCTTAAATCGGAAAAGTTTCTTTTGGCCACATTGAGGAAATCATTCAAAGAACTTGCTTGTATGATATCCCAAGTATGTACCTCTTTTCCATCTGATAGTTGTGCCTAACTGTTAAACTGTTACATCACTAAAACTAGGCTCCTACTCAATTGTTCATATCCTAAGATAACAACTCTCTTTAACTCATAAAATTAAAATGTATCAGCTTCCAAAATAAAAATCATTATTCCTAGAATTGATTACTAAGCTGAGAGAAAAGAAAATAGATGAGGAAGTAAAATATTTGGTAATGTGAAAGAAGTGGCAAAGAAAGCAGTTTTGCCTCAAGGGTATGTTATTCTTAGGAGTAGAACTCCAAACACTATAGGCAAGAGCAAGGTTGCTCCTAAAAAGGCTTTGGAAGAAAGCAAGAAAAAAAGAATGAGAGACAGGGGTTCAGGCTGATAAATGAGTCTGATGTGGAGGAAGTTGAACTTGTGAGTGAGGTTGATGATGATGATGATGATGAAGAAGAAGAAGAAGAAGAAGAAGAAGAAGAAGAAGAAGAGGATGATGATGATGATGATGATGATGATGATGAGGTAGAAAAAGTCCTTCTTCCGAGGAAAGGAAAGAAGAAGGCTGAATCCTCTTCAGCCACACCTAAGGAGAAGAGGTCTTCCAAAAAAGAGAAGGTTGGAGTGTCTCAGTCTGCAGAAAAAGGAACCAGTTCCAAGCGTAGGAAGAAAACTCATTGGAGAATTTCTATTGTGTAGAGAGCGTATTGGTTTGTTAGGTTGAAAATGTTGAAGGGCCGAGTAATCAACCCAGTTACTGTAAACATGTTTGGGATAAAGGAGCCGGTGGAGAACATTGAGAACAAGGGCTGGACATACCAGTTTTTGTGCCCACTCTCAGTTATGTATGGTGAAGCAATGCTTTATTTCTACAAAAATTTTAAAGTTCTTGAGGATATCACAGTGAGTATGATGTTAGGGGAGTGGACCCGATTCTTGATGCTACAATGCTAGGAGAAATTTTGAATGTATCTGTAGAGGGTTTTAATACCTATGTGCGGCGTGAGTGGAACATTTTAGGTGAAAATGAGGATGACATGTACTTGACCTCCAAGTACACTCAGAAAAGGGAGCAACAGACTAGAAGGAAAGTAGGAAAGGGGGAGATGTTACTAGTTGACAAGCTCATGTTTGAGTTTGTGAACAAGTATTTTCTGCCTCGATATGGGATGAGGCATAAGGCCACTTACTTAGACCTGGCAATGAGGGAAGTGCTGGATCAAAATAGGACAATTAACCTTCCCTCACTGATGATCAAGCATATGAAAAGAGAAGTTGATCAAGGGTAATCTTATGATGCCATATGGATTTTTGCTGACTAGGGTGTTCGAGCATTTTAGGGTTCCGTTAAGAAGACCTAAGAAGGGGACCAAGGAGGACTTTTATGATGAGTGGACCTTGAAGGATTGTAATTGTATAGACCTCGGGGGGACAAAGAGCAAAAGTATAGTCACCAACTTGTTGGAAGAGCTGGTTGTTGCCAATGAAGAAAGGAGAAGCTGAAGGAAGAATGGAGAAGGGTGACCACATTTTCCTTCGTGATGTTATTGGTGGCTGCTGCTAATTTGGCGAGGCCGTCTGCTTCGATGTTTTGTGCTCGAGAT